GTTATAGGAATTTATAGCACGTTGCCTCGTGGAGATTAATGGGTTTTGACAGTGGTACTTTAAACTGCAGACAAGATACATACAGAGTCAGAAGTTTGTCCTCAAAAGACCAAGCACTAGAATGAGGTTTGTTCTCCTTTGTGACAGTAGACAGCTCTTCATCGACGTTACCTAGGCCCAAATTCATCCGCCCCTACCCTGCCCCAGGAAGGTCGTGCAGCGTGAGGGACTTGTCATATTATCAGCACAACCACGCCCGGAGGCCCTGGCCTGTCGGTATGTCGGGGGCTGCTTGCTGCATCTGACTGCACCTTGGAGCCACGCAGGGGGATGAGATGCTGCACAAACTTTTCACATCTTCGTGGGCTCTTACTCATCATGAGAGCAAGGAGGCTTTTGTAGTCGGGAGGCCTAGATTTGCCTGCTGATGATTTTCACACCATACACTGTGGCACAAACAATTACAATGAATGTAAAGGTCTCGTGTTGAACTCTCTCCAATTGTAAACCTCACTTTCATGAAAGAAACGCAGGTGATCTATGTGTTTTCATTTTTATTTTAAAGAAGATTTCTCTATTTTTAAGAAAGATATATGTGATATGTAAATAGACAAAGATTCCAATATGATGACTCATTATTTTATAGTTTGTCCATTACATATCACCTAAAATGTAACACCAAAAGTACCAAACAAAATACTTAACTAAGTAAGTAGTAAGTTTGACTGTTAAGGACATCAAATATCAACCAAACTGGAACAACTTAAAAGAATATATAAAATACTTGACTATAATAGCGTTCAAAAGATATTATTGGGTTCTTGGAAAAGTCATGAAGTATTTTTTTATGTTTTTCGTTGCAAAAATCCATCATGATATTTCTGACAACCCAATAATTCTGTTTCCTACTACAAGTTATTTTTACAGCATTTAATATATTATTAGGAATATATTTATTACAGATCATAGCTGGGAAAGCATATATATATATATATATAAAATTAGTAGTCAAACCTATATGAATGGATTCAAGTTCTGCTCAGATTATTTAGGTATCTGATTTGAATATATCAACGTATTGTTATAAAATGTGTTTGTTACCTTTACATTCATAATTATATCTAGAAATTCTGGCTTGCCTTTTGCTCACATTTTAGAGTATACCAAACACTATCGCTCAGTAGCAATTGATTTGTCTGGTTATCTTTATAGCATTTCATAATATAAGCAAAAATTAACCCAGTCCAACATCCAGGTATTCTTTCTAAAGAATTTAGTCATGTGACTAGGTGGCAGCATTCCACGACTTTTATTTTTTCAGTTTTCTAGTCCCCTCCCTTCAAGGTTTTGTGTGGGACCAGCCCCTGACACATACCTCTTGCCTGGACTCTCTCAGAACAAGAAGGAGGTATAGAGGTGGGGCTGGATGATTTGGGGCTTCTCTATCTAAAAGTGCTGATGACCTGTTGATTCAACCCCTTTTAAGCACAAAAAAGGGCTACTTTAACGACTAGAAACATTGACTTGACAAAAAAAACTCTTTCTCCAAACCAAACAACTTTTTCACCTTTCCCTGGTGGTTTGGGACTGCTCTGTGTCTGTAGGAAGTACTAAGAGTGTTGCTCCTGCATTCACCCCTGTTTGCATTTACCGCAGGAATAAATGTAGAAACCCCCGCATTTCCCCGGATGGCTCTGCAGTGGCTGGCTTCCCCTCTGTGAGAACTTGCCTTAAATGTGCTTTTTCTTTTTTAACTTATATTGGCCAATGTAGAAAAACCACTCTTCACCCGGGATGCATCCCAGTTGAAGGGAACATTCCTCAGCACCACCCTTAAAAAGAGCAACATGGGTTTTGGATTTACCATCATTGGTGGAGATGAGCCTGATGAGTTTCTACAGGTGAAAAGCGTGATTCCAGATGGGCCCGCAGCACAGGATGGAAAGATGGAGACAGGTAAGCTCTTCCGTGCTTTAGAAAATTGTTTCGTCCTGTCTTTTTTCCTAAGGCAAATGTCAAGAGTTTCTTTCTGTATTTTTTATTTGAAGGTCAAAGGTCACCTCACTTTAAGGAAACCACCAATTATGTTTTCACTAAGTTTAAGTGTATCAAATTGAAGTATTTTGAAAACAGCTTTGAATATCATTTTTGTCTCATTTTTCAGACTGCCCCTTCTATTTTCTGGATTCAATGGACTCTTGAGATTGATACTTTTCTCATTTATTTCTAGAGTGTCTTTTTAGGGACGTGATTAACATTTAATACTTTTCTAGTTTATATTCAGCCATTGTTAGTTTTATTTTTATTTATTATTTTTTATTATTAGTTTCTGGAGAATATAATCAATAATGTTGTAAATATTTTTTAGGGGGCCAGTTGGACTCATGTCTTGTTAGGGAGACCATTTCATAGGCAGTGTAGAGGCCTGACTGCCATTGTTATTTTTAAATCTGATTAATCTTGTAGTATTATCTGAATTTCCCAGGTTAGATATTTAAATATGCATGCTCATTTCATAGAAAAAAATTTTTAATGGCATTCGTCTTTATATGTCCCCGTATGTTTTAACATATAAGGTGTTTTTTTCTCTAGTCCTTATGAATTAATTTTCAAATGCAGTTACTTGAATGTCTATCAAACTATAATCAAAATTAATTAACATAAATACAGAGGCAGATTGTTGAGGG